ATCTTAAAGTCGAATGAACTCCTCGGGCTTGTCCCCGCACGAATCTTAAAGTCTGGAAAAAGGACCATGTTCTATAGGAAAATGATCAACCAGGAGCACGATTCTTAAAGTCAAATGAACTCCTCGGGCTTGTCCCCGCACGAATCTTAAGTCTAGAAAAAGGACCATATTCTATAGGAAAATGATCAACCAGGAGCACGATTTTTAAAGTCAAATGAACTCCTCGGGCTTGTCCCCGCACGAATCTTAAAGTCTAGAAAAAGGACCATATTCTATAGGAAAACGATCAACCAGGAGCACGAATCTTAAAAAGGTCTCCTGACGCACCAAAATGATAGACGGGTCGATCCTCCGTAGGAAAAACTCTCACGAAGATCAACCAAGTGTTCCTGCACGAATCTCAAAGTACTTAACAGAGCGCGCGCGAGAGAGAGAGAGAGAGAGAGACCACCGGCTCTCTTCGTCGTGTACCGAAACGATGGATGGGTCCGCTACATTTATTCGGCACTCGACTCCCGTTTCCATATACGCAAAGAGATGTCGTCTCCCGTTCGCGAGTGTCCGTAGCATTTACGGCGGTGTTGGATGTCGCACAGATGTAATCCAATTATTGAGCATGTCATCGATCACATTTCTCCCTCGGTCAACGACACGAGGGATCGACACTGCAGCAGCCATTTAACAGTACAATCTCCACCTCCACCTCCACCGAGGAATTCCCACCAACTCGATCATAATTTACAGAATTCCAATTTATAGAAAAAGAGGCATCTGTTTTTCTAAAGATAACCATGCCTAAGACAAAATGGATTGAAGCTGGTGGTGTGGTAGATTGAGTCTACAAGTGCATGGTCAACGGAAGCACAAGTGTCTGTTCTTCCTGGTATTAAGCACATGTTTCCTTCTTAGATGTGTCCACCTCATGTAAAGACAAGCCAAGCTCTCGAGCTTTGTCAAACCATTTGTTTCAACGAGTACAATGACAGGCCCAACAAGTCATTCATGTTTTCTTCTCTCGAGTGTTGTTACGTTGATTTCACACAACTTCTAGAATTACTACAACCCTTTTGATCCCACCCCCACAGAACTCACTAGTTAGTGAGGGTTGGTGAGGACATATGGCTCTTGAATTTGATGCTGCTGTGAGTGGATATCCATCAACATCTTCTCCCTTTTGATGGTAGTCACCATTGAATGGTCTTCTCCCTTGCTGGGGTAATACAGGTGAACGAGAAAGAAAAGGAAGCTGCTTTTATCATGATTGATATCGTCAAAAACCATCATGGATCGATCAACGGAAGCTTCCTTTTTCCTTTATGGATTCAGTGTAGTAAAGTTACTCGATCCCTTGTAGTCCATGCACGAGTCCAATTGCATGCAGTGCTTCTTCCAGAAAGTCATACCCTACCGCTGTGTCGCTGCCAAAACTGGCCAATATTTCCTCTCACTTGCGTGCTCAAGTCCAAGCTGTCATGGCTGCTTGGTCTCAAAAGTCAAAAGAGTTCACTGGCCTTTTCTCCCGTAGTCTCCAATGTGTTCCTTCGTTCCCACTGCCGGTCTGCTGTCTTCCTGCATCTTCAACAATGGCTTCGGACAAAGGACTGGGAAGCAATGATTTCTGAAACAATGGAACTTCCTGTTCCTGTGCAGTGAAACTGGAGGAAGTAATCTTCAACAGTGGATGGAGGGAGAGCAGGAAACCGTATGATCTGTTCTGTCTGACTTCGAATGAAGCATGTTGATTCCTGAAACAAAGGGATTTCCTGTTCTTGTGCAGTGAAACTGGAGCAAGTAGTCTGGGAGTAGTGTATGATTTCTTGTCGATATGCGCAAACAATTGGGTCGGGAGTGAGGGGTTATCATCAACATGAATCAATAGGGACCGATTAGATGATAGATTTGAAGATATTGGCTTGTTTTTTTGCTCAAGAAAAGAGGGATCTTGTCTCTTTAGGCTTGTAGGAATTCATTGTTTGAAGGATCGATGTGGTGTTGTCTCGGTGCGTCTCTCACATGGATGAGTACAGCTATTTGACACTTGTTCATGGCATGCTACTGTTTCCCGTATTTATGACTCTCTCCCTAATATTTAATTTGTTTGGTACTTTTTTCAACAAAATCCCAAGTTTCTTTTTTTTTTTTCTCTTATAGAACATTCCTTTTTTTAATTTTATTCCCTTGTAAAGACTTTATTGTTTAATTATGATATTACTCTTGACTTTGTTATGGTCTCCATCGCTTTGCTGTAGTGTATACCGCCTCTTGTGATTGCCTCATCCATCATGTCCTCACGGAGATTGCTAAGGCTCTCGAGCACACCCTCACTTTTGTCCGTCGTAATATTACTTCATCAGCATCGATCACATCCTGACTAGTTAGAGTGTGGCTCCATCGAAAAGGATGATATATATGCATAGATCTATATGAATTTATCCACGGAGACACCCTTATAGTCCGATGGTGATCACATTCGGGTAACACTTGAGCGTCAAGTGACAACATGCGGTCTTGATCTCTTAGTTGCTAACATGGAGAGAGACATTGAGATTATCATAAACGGAGGAGGAGGAAGGTGCAGGGAATACTGTATGCAAGCACTAGCAAAACATGATAGGAGTGATGTTGACGATTAAGGGAGCCTGCTTGTAAAGCAATAACAACGGAGAATAAAGATAAGAGTATAATCAAGGGCCTTAGTAGCCTTCACAAGGACATAATAGAAAAGATAACCCTAGAAGACAACGGGGTGGAAGTAGTGGAATAGAACTAAAATGATGGGACAAAACAAAAGTGATAAGCAACAGGGTGAAAGAAGACAATGCATATGGGCAAAGTTTAAGGGATAAAAACAATCAAGAATAAAGCAAAAAAAAATATTGTGTGAAAAATAATAGAAACTTAAGGTTTTTTAAAAGAAAATCACCTTTTCATTAACAATGTGTTTGCAACACATATTCAATTAATGAAAAAAAAAGAAAACTGTGGAGTTGCATATTTATACTCC